ACAAGCTTTAAGGTACGGCAGCCCCGCTGTAGGGTCTGTCATAGTTGTGTGGACTGGAGACCTTACTAACTTAAAACGACCCATAGAGTAATGGGAGGTACAAAACCCGGTTTCAAAAATGTTACTAGCAACTCGCGCTAGAGAAAGCTTAATACTAGTGTGTGCGGTCTGGTAGCAAAAAATTTCCTCTGTAGCTGTCAATCGAGACAGAAGAGTGTGCTACCCACGAATATATCGGAAGTAATTAAGTGGACGATAAAGAAAATGGTTAAGTCTGGATACAAGGATTGTAGCCGATACCGTTCCGAGAAAGAATTTGCGTCTATGCCTAGTCAATTTCTTAAATCCTGGACATAGCAGTAATTTTGGTCAGGCGGTGCGAGCAATTGCGACATATGTCGCGAAAGCACTTCGCATTGTAAAATTGCCAAGTACTACTCGCACGTAAGGTGCTTATGCGCAGCCTCCTAGCTAGGAGTGCTACGCTTCTACTTCTGTCCGGACTAGAACCTATTTCGTGGTCACATAACCCTCGCTTACTTTGAAAGTATCGTTCGTATCGGTGCCTTTTAAGGTTTTGACGCCCGTCTTTTTATGTTGAGCTCTGTGAGGACCAGATGTGCTCCCGCTGACGTCCGATTAAGACTCTTCAGTCGGTATATCACCAGTGTGTCTTCGTATCTTGCTGATGCATTCGGGGGAGCAGCGACTGCCTTTGAATTTTAAGACACTAATTGCGCTAGTCTCAAGGGGACAGATAACAACAGAAGCATGTTCCACACATCCTGTTGTCATAAAGTTTGATAGGCAAGCAAAGTTTATCTATTCTCACACATAGCACATTTTCATTATAAAATGTAGCCGAATCGATGACATGTACTGCCGTTGGCAAGGTGTGTTGCCGTGGCCTTGCTCACTGAAACGCCAGGGTTAAAATCCGCATCAACTGACGCATAGAATGGATTTGCAGCGCATTATGCAGTGTCAATTGTGAGCGTTTCAAACAATAATTTTTTTCTAAGATACAACTCTTCGTGACACCACCGCACGAATAAATCGATTTGAAATGGTGGTGAAGGGTAAACGTCATAGACAAATTATAAGTGCTCTCCGTCTTTTGCAAGCAACGCTTGAATATCAGTGAGGTCCAGTTATTTTAAGGGTGCCCAGTATTTCTTTTCATGTACTGAATTGTTTCTTTATGTCATAAAATTTTGTTGCTGCATAAATTCGCCCACATGTGCTCTTGTGTTTGCTCAATATCGCATGAGAACTCTGCGCAATCTTACATGATTCGTTGTGGCAATCGGTTGGCAAGGCTTATAAAGTTTGCTTCCCGTCGTTCGCTTGAAACCTGTTCCTACTACACTGCCCTTTTTAGTTAGCTCGTCGAAT